AACATGATTTTTATGAATTTTTAAAAGAGAAGCTTCAAAAGGACCACTCAACTTAAATGTATAACTAGATAAGGAGCAGATGGGCCTTGACTTGATTGGCAGTATTGCAAAAAGTTTTGCAACATTCTTTGTGGATATTTTGTTATAAGTTAGCAATGAAAATTTCTTATGAGCAATCACGTTTTTGTGAAAACTACTTAAATTCATTATGAATATTTATTTATAATTCATCTGTTTTGATGAAGAATGTTCAATGTATGAGAAAATTCAATTAAATCTAAATTAGGTCTAAAATTTCTTTGATTATCTGGAGACATTGCCAGTCAGAGTAGCCAACAAGAATATTTTTTATGCACCTTTCCCATGTCTCATCATCCTTCCCAGTATTTACCTCCCAAGTATATTGAACAAAATTTTGAACTTGAACAAACAATTAGAAATGAGCTGAGTCTGAAAAATCCCTCATTTGCCACTGTGTATGCTAGAAAAAGTTGTAAGTACAAGTGGAAAATGAAAAAATATAAAATTGTATCATTTGTAATAATTATTCTAGATATAAGATAATAATGGCTAATTGGCCATAGAAACAAACTCTGAAAAACAGGCTCTGTTGACCAACTAGAAAATTTGGCAGAACGCAGAAGCTATGCCAGAAAATCTGAAGAAGACAAAATGACACAGTTTGCAGTAAGTTCAATCATTTCTACACAAGAATAGAGAATCCCTACTTAACCCTTTGCTAGGCAAGTTACCATATACAAATGATATAATCACTTACAATCAACTTCTGCCCATACTAAAAGTTCTCACTATGACTATCACTATTGCATCCAATTTGCATTTCATCTTTATTATCATGCTTCTGTAAGTTTTGTTAATCATTTGGTGTGGAATATATCAACCATTTGACGGCTCAAGCAGCAACTAGAGCTTTCCTGCCATTTTCTGAGCTGCTGGAATTGTGCTAAATGAATCATCTCCTAACAGAGTGTAAGTGTTAATAAAACTGCAAAATCTGATAATCAAATTAAATCATGCTGCAAGATTACAAATTAATCAAAAATTGGTTACATTCCATCATTCTGCATTCATAAGCAGCAGCAGACATGGAACATATCTACTTGGCGAGCTGCGACTGAATTTTTTGAGCCGTGGTTTTATGGATTTGCCAGCCGTGATTTCATTTCTTCGAGCTGTGATTCCGTTTCACTGAGTTGTAAATTCCATATCTTGGCCATGAAAAGCCATTTACGAGGCACGAATTTATTTACAAAGTCCATGCACGTGTTAACCCAAATCTCTAATTTTACCTAAAACAGTCAAATGGCAAGGATACAATTTGTCTTTACTGTAAGTTGAGCACGTGTTAACACGTTGGCCGCAATGTGCGCCATATATGTACACGCTGTACTTCTCAGAATCGCGATGTGTACACATGTGGTACATTCATATGAAAAATACATATTTTTTATAAAATCTTATTACTATTTCAAATTTAAAATTTCAATGATGCAATTAAATAGGCATGTTAGGGAATGCTTTGAAGTCAACTACAGCTTAGAGAAAAAGTTTTATTTTCAAATGCAAGTAATACAAAAATTACGAAATTTGTGTCCATTGATGAAAGCAACATATATATACCGTATCTATCTTTGCATGAAAACAAAATAAAATATTTTTTTATTGATCTGAAACTACAACATTGGCCATTGGGTGTTGCCAACATCACCCAATGTTGGCAATACGTGATTGAAAAACAATTATCGCACAAGTATGGTTTTCCTTCACAGTCATCAAAATATTTTTGTACCCTTCGCGTTTCACCTTTGCTACGGCACTTTCCTCATTTGCTGAGAGTATGTTGTAGCATTCATGGCAGCGCATCCTGGCTTTAGTTCTAGTTGGTTCAATGAAAGTGGGCTGTCCTCTGTCCCACTCGATAATTTGAGATATGCATTCTGATTTTACTCTTTCTCTGAAATGCTGCTTGTAACAGAAGCTCAAGACAATATATACGATGAATGATCTCTATAAGGTAAATATAACTGAACTAACAATGTAAATACCCTCAATTTTATTCAGGATTATGAAAACCTAGACACCAATCTCTTTCCATAGTAATTTCCATGCGTAATATACATCATTCACAAAAAGCTAAGAGATACCAGTAGTCATAGTCTGTGCAATTATGACTCAAAACTAATGTAAATTTCTTGCGCGCATCACTCACAGAGATAAGAGTGATAACTTTAGGCGTTTTTCCGCAATATGAGCCATAGATACATGTATTTGCTTCCTACACATCGCCCACAGTATTAGAAGTGATTACGATAGGCGGCATGAGCCAATAAGAGCCACAACAGGCATGGCTTCATTTGGTACACATCGCCAGGAATAATGACAAATTTCAACCCTGAGCGATGTGCACCAAATGAGGCCACAAATTTTACGTGACACAATCACAATGACAGAACATACCCCTGCAGAGCTGCACACAACTTTTCTCCTTGCTATCTGCCGGGTGACTGAAGATATACAAGTTTGAACCTATCGCCCGTACGGCATTCGGGCCAAATCAGCAATCGCGGCCAACGTGTTAATGCAGTCTGACTGCTTTGACATGACCGCAAGTGACTGCAACTATGCGTGATCTTCAACAATTTTTTAGTTGATGTTTACCGTTTACATTACGATGATTATGTTTTTTCTGCAGGATATTTTGGCGGGAACGGTAAAACAATGCAAATGGCGGAAGTTGAAAATTTTATAAAGTGACATGTTTGCAAAGTACAAACCGCGATTTTTCAATCAAACAAAAATTTATGACATTCGAGGCGCGAGATTTCATACCTACTGAAATTATATGATATTAGAGCCGCAATATTTCAGACAAAAATAGGACTTTTCCAGCCCTGTTCATAAGTAGGAATAATTCTATTCTAGCAGCTAGCTAATCACCAACACCAAGTATCTGAGTAATAATAATAATCTGGCTATTGTTGTATATAGAAAAATTCCTCAGCACTAGGCTACCAGTACAGCAGTACCCAATAGGCCACTACTGGCCACTACTGGGCAGTGGCCATAGTGGCAAAGCAGAGAGTTTTTTAGACTCTTCCTCAAGTTCATTTATGAGTCCTATAAGTAGACCAGTAAAGTATCTTGGATACCAGAATTTTCATACATAAGAAATCTGTTAAAATCTGGAGTAAATGAGGAAATTAAAAATGAGCTGATTCTAAAAAATCACTGGTTTGCCACTATGGCAGTGGCACTAGCCCACAAGGGCACTAGCCACTAGCCAGGTTATCAGCAACAGCAAAGGACAAGATGAAAAAACAAGGGGAAGAGAAATTTAAAAGGAAATTTGTTTGCTTTATTATTGATTTATCCCATTAACCCATTTATTGCACTGTAGGCTTACTACTTACTAGGCTACACTGTAGTGACTGACTGACTGTACAGACTACATCTATCATGTAGCCTGTAGGCCCTGTAGATAATCTTGTTAGAAAGTTAGAGTCTGTTAGATACAGGAGTGAGGATCTCTTATGCTCTGAACTGACTGAACGATTCTAATTATTTGTGTTCTATTAAATTATTATTGATTCCTCTTTATTTTTTTACTTTTTTATTGCTATTTCTATTACAACTGTGGGTCTGTGACGCCAGTGACGGTGTGACCCTTCCAGCCGGTTCCAGGTTCCAGCCTCCATTCTTGCCAAATGCCAATCTCCTCCAGGCTCCAGCATCCAGCCTCCTGTCCCTCATTCTCCATCACTCCAATCAGTCCAATGACTCCATGCACTCTCCAAATATTGCTCTCCACTCCAGTCAATAATTGACATAGTATGACTGACAGTCATACTCATACCAGTTACCACTATACCAGGTACCAGTCATACTTAGAGCATGATAGCACAGTCCAGTCACCCCTGGGCTGTTGTCACAGACCGGGTAATAGTTAAAAGCTGAAGATGCCAAAGACGCTGAAGGGGCAAACGAATAAAAATTGACCCACTATCATTGCAATCCATTCGTCTTCCATTTGCTTGTGCATCACATCATTTCCAATTCCAATAACACCATCACTCGGCAATCGGCATCACTGCATCAGCCCTCTCAAGCCAAGGTCTCATGACTCTCATCTTATCAGTCTCTCCCTCTCGTATCATATGCATCACGCTCCATCATCATGTGACATGTGCTCCACAGTTTCGAAGTCACCTCTGTCACACATAAAACAAATATCCTATTTTCTATGATGATGATCCATCATTCCACCTATACATCCGTGCATTGACACAAAGCATTTGCTGTCACAGCAGACTCACAAGTCACACAGAACATTAGGTATGCTGAAGTGGCGAACAATTGATCGATCAAAAGCTTAATGGTGCGGTAAACTAATTCCGCCAACCCGTATATATATGCACGAATTTTTTTCACTGTAAATGTTGGATAAAATTTCAGGTAGTTAGGTTTTAAGCAACGCAAGCGACTGCTGTGTCGCCTGTGTGTTCGCGTAGTGAGCAGAGCCGTCTATTATATTAAATGAATTTTGAGACTGTTCATATGTTTCATTTTCTTAAAAAATTACCAGTTTTCATTTCTATTGCTCCAGCGATAATGATGAAAGTAGCGTTTTTTCTTTTCGCTCATCGAATAACGGAAATATCTTCTTCTCCGTGGCGGTCCGTGCTGGTTGCTGTATGTTTTGTTCGCCACGTGATCACTTCTACGTCTTCAGCGTTTAATTGTGGACATTAATGATTAATCAGTGGTGTTTTTGCTCTATTTCTGGGCCTAAAACAATCAAGTTATGTGACCGTCCATAAATTTGAAACTTTATTTGACCGCCTGCAGCCTGCTTTTTGGTATCTACAGGCTACAGCTACTGAGCCTCACTCACTGAGGCCTGAGCGCAGGCTTGCACTTAGCAGCTCCTTTGATTTTGAACTTCTTCAAACCCCGGAGAAAATAATTAATAGGTATTGCTACAAATTGTAAAGTTCCAGGTACATGTATTATTGATGTATATAATGTAGGAGATGGATTTAAGTGAGTTAAGAAATTTCGATGTAGTATCTAGGCTAGGCTAACTAACTCATAATGAAGAGTGGCTTTGTTGAATTCAGATTGTCTAATGATGAAAATAAATTTGCATGGAAAAATGTGTGTAATGTGTGAAATGTGAATGAATACTTCAATTACCTACGACCATGTCACATGTGCTGGGAAGGATTACAATTTTCCTACTTGTGTCTAAAATTTTGCAGCTCCAATCCAATGTGACTAATTTTTAATAGGGTAAATCACTAAATGCACCATATTCCAGCAACCAACACTATGGGTAATTCCAACACCCCTCAACTTTTTCCTTTATATTAAGCTTGGTCTTAGTTCAGGACATAGTGGCAACTGGCAAAGCAGAGAGTTTTTTAGACTCTCCCTCAAGTTCATTTCTGAGTCCTATAAGTAGACCAGTAAAGTATCCTGGACACCAGCATTATCATACTTAAGAAATTGGTTTAAATCTTAAGTAAATGAGGAAATTAAAAATGAACTGATTCTAAAAAAGCTCTGGTTTGCCACTATG